GCCGCCGACAGTTGCTCACATCAGCCCCTACCGAGCTCCCCGGTAGGTCAGACCTGGGCCAGGTTCACCTCGGCCCTCATACTTAGCATTTGTCGACGTTAGTGGCGGCCATCTCGACTATCCGAGCTGGGCATGACTCATGAGCAATCTTGGAGCACCAATAGGGGTCCTCCACGTGTCCAGGTTATTCCCTTCCCCAAACAAGAGGCAACCTTAACTAACTTCTAAGAAAGATAAATCTAAAAGAAAAACAACACACACAGAAAAGTAAAGATACGGAAATTAAAAATAGAAACAAAGTAATAGTAAAGACGATCAACATACGGGCAATTTATCATAGCAAAAGGATAGGAACTCCCTTTTGTGTTCACTCACCTCTAACAGAGAATACAGGCAACCGGGTGCTTGAGGTATGGAAGGCATTGCAGAGCCATTCAAGTTGCTTGAGCATCTTCTTCTGGAACGCAGATGATGGCGCCTACGATGGGCCTCCTCTTAGTGCATGGAGGGCCGTCCATCTGCATCTTGTTGATATGAAAATTTAAATGGTTAAACATTTATTATATGGCTGACATAATTGAATATTAAATGAAAGGATTGAGAAAAATAAATTAAATTATTCTCCTCTTAAGCTATTTTTGTGGTTGAAAACTCAAATAATTCTCTATTTTTATTGGGTTATTGTACATAATATCATTATTCAAACTACCACAATTTTTTATGATTTTGTTGAAAAATAAAATGCTAATCTAATTACATCAACTAAAATTATGTTTCTGGGTCTTAAATTAAAAGATAATGATACGATTTTAGAAAATAAAGAATAAAATATGAACGGTACAAAAAGTAATGCCTAAATATATCCAATGGTCCCTAATATTTTAGTTAAATCTCAATTTGATTCTTAGTCTTTAGAAATTCTCAATTTAATCTTAACGTATTAAAAAAATTTAATTACATCATTTCATATGAATATCATGACATATGAGATATGAGATGTTACTTGAACATCCCATCTAGAAAAAAATAGTCTTGCCCATCTAGAAAAAAAAGTAGCCTTTTAAGGGCAAGTCCCATGTGTCCAAAATATTAACAAAGTAAAAGTAAAAGTAAAAGTAAAAATAATCTAATGGCATCAACTTTTTAATTTAATATATTAGTGATTATTTGGTATATTTGGCTAAGAGTAAATTATAAACTGAAGATGTGAAGTTTATCTCCAATTTTGATATTTATTTAATTTAATAATACTAAAATAATAAATGGAAAAGGATACCATTTGTAAGGAATTTAAAAGGAAAAAAAAAGGAAATGGACAAAATGGAGAGACAAAATTTCTCCTATAGCCATTTTGTACATAGTATAGTTTATAAATTATTTTCCAAAATTCATCTTGCATGTTAGAAAAGAAAAAAATATCCCACCAAAATGTATCACAGTAGTAATTTGACCTCCTTAGCTTATATACTACAATTTTTTTTTTCAACCTTAAAAATAAAATCATCTAATATTGTATAAAGAATGAACAAAAACATATTCAAGGAAACATCTAATAATGTTGTAATTTTTTAGCCTTTCCATTGAAAAATCGTTTGAAAAAAAACTTATATTATGTTTAATGAATTATAAAAGGTTAAAATAATATTTTGGTCCCTGTACTTTTAGCCTCGGTTCATTTTAGTCTCTGTACTTTGTAGATGTTCATTTTGATCCCTATACTTATAACTTTGGTTCATTTTAGTTCCTTTACTTTGAAAATGTTCATTTTGGTCCCTATACTTTTAAAAAGTGATCATTTTAGTCCCTTTTTGCAAGATTTTGACACAAATTTTACACCTAACGAAAACAATTTAGTATAAAGTAATGTTTATATTGTAAGAAATATATTGATTATAATGTGGTGTTGAAATTGTGATAGAAAAATGAGACTTAAAATAAAATGAAATGACCAAAATGGTCACTCTTTAAAAGTACAATGAACATTTTCAAAATACAGGGACCAAAATGAACCAAAGTAGAAAATACAGGGACCAAAACGAACATTTTAAAAGTAGAAAGACTAAAATGAACCAGAGCTCAGAGTAGAGGGATCAAACTAGTATTTTAACCATTATAAAAATATGTGTCATACAAAATTRATGATATTTCATCAGAAAAAGAAACTGACACTAGATCTGACTTTTTTGTTGAAAATTGATACACTTTGCCAAGTTCAAAAAATAAATGTTGCTTTTTTCGTATATTTATTATCTACGAAAATATTTATAGTGTATTTTGGAAAAAAAAAAAGGTTTAGTAGTCTAAAATTATTATCTTACCTTAAATAATTATAATAGAGAAAAAAAAAAACTCTTTCCACTCTTTTACGATGTAGGACTACAATTTCCCAGCGGAACTTCTAGAGAAATATATTTAACTGCTATAAAATAGAGTAATATATATATATATATATATATATTTTGAAAGAAAGAAAGAAAAAGAAGTATTTTCAAACGCACTAAAATTACTTAGAATAGAATGGACAGTGTAGGCTTCACCTAAGTTTGTCAATTAGTGGGCATTTGTGGTTTGAGCTTTAAAGCGGTTTACAACACAAGTCAAACTAGTAGCTAAGCCTCCTTTCTACACGCTTTAGACTTTGGCTAGCTCTCCCACACATAACCAGCACCTAACCAAGGAATTTTGTAGGCCATATATCAAAAAGGAGATAAAATGAAAAATAAAAAATAAAATTTCCTTTTAATGAGTAATTAAAATATTTTTAGTATTGAATATTCATATATGAATTAAATTTACCTAACTCATTACTTTAAGTTTTTTGGTTGACTAGTGGTTTATTCATTTTTAACATGACATCATAGTCAAAAGCTCAAACGAGCATCCGGTCAAAAAATGAGATCTGGTCAAAATAGGTGAGGTGAACCCAAAAGAGACATCATCTTGAGAAAACATGTTAAGGATGTCGCGATGAAAAAAATAAAGACTTAACAAAAATTTATAATATAAGTGTCCTACTTTTATCATTGTCAATTAATTTTGAAATAGAAYCCAATAAATATTTATATGATATCTGAGTCAAATCCTTAACATTAAGTATAACTTATATAAAATGCCCATAAACTATAGCATTGGTTTCAATTATATTCTCTTATCATTCAAAAAAGTTTCATTTTAACCTTTAAACGGAAGTGAACGACCTTTTTTATTATAAAGTTATAGGCCTTAATTAGGTGAGATATATATTTTTTTTCCCTTCCTTTCAAGATCCAAAGGAAAAAAAAGGGTCTGCCCTCTAACAACTGGTCTACATATCATCCATCCTATCATATATATATATATATATATAATATAATAGTATATCTATCTATTAGATACATATATCAAATTTCCTTGCGGTTCTGGTGCATGATCTCATTGATGAACCAAATTAAAAATTTATTTTTAGAAGCAACCTAGAAATTAAAAGTTGAAATGAAACTTTTAAAATAATAGACGTATAATTGAAACCTACATATAATATGATTTTTTTATAAATTGGGTATGGTTTTTCAAATTGTGACAAACTTATTTTATTTTTGAATAACACGTAGGAGTGAGAGATTCAAACTCACAATCTTGTTTGTGATTGGACATAAGTGTCGTAATTATTTAATTCAAAAAGATTGGACATAAGTGCCGTAATTATTTAATTCAAAATGTGAGAGGAAAAAAAAGAAGAAGAAGAAGAAGTTGATTTATTTAAAAGCTCATATGGAAGGGGGAAAAAATTAGAATGGTTATTTTATTTTATTTTTATTTCTAATTAGATAACACACAAACACAAATTTTGTGGTCTGATTTTGTTCCATCTTCAGTCAATTTGAAAAATGCAAACTACCCCCATTCATTTGTGTCTCTATCAATATCTAGGTAGGTTGGGTTGTTCAACTTCCTTGTGTTTGTGGATTCTTCAGCTACTCCCTTTCTGTCCCACAAAATCTAACTGATTGAAAGGGAAAGAACACAAAATCTTGTTTCCATGTAAAGGATCTCATATAATTCAATTTATACATTCAAATTTGTCTCTTATATGGTAATATACTTCTTTTTATGGTCTATATCTTTTGTAGTCATTTTATTGAAGAAAATTATAAACTTTAGATTACAAGTTAAATTGTATATATGTAGATGGATTTCCTCTGAACACGACCCAGATACTCACGAATATCACAAAAAAAATATTTGACGATGTAAAGTAATTTTAGAATAGCATGAATTCTTTTTTGTTAGTTTTTCAAAACTTTTTTTAAAAAAAATATATGTATTCCTAGTTAAATCAGTGAAATTACCTCCTCCATAAAAAAAATTTGCATGAAGATTTGGCAAAAAAACATCCAAATGAGGTTTTAACATCTTGTGTTGAAAATGCTTTGTTTTTTTGTTCTTGAAAAGATTAAGTTTCTTGTACTAAAAAAAAAAGGATTAAGTTTCTTACTACCAAATTATTTATTTCTTAACTGCTACATGCTTTTAGAAAATTTCAGCAAAATTATAGTCGACTTTTAGAAATTAAAATAACTCAAAATTATTATTATTATTATTATTATTATTTTGTCCCATGAAACTTAGTTAATAATGCTGTATAGGTATTCTTTAGCACATACACACATACATGTTACCAAGGGAGATTTAAAGTACTTTTCTTCAAATGAATTGAAAAATCTTAATATATATGAAAAAATATATAAATAAAACTTTTATCTATATACTTCCCACATTTGTGTGGGGGAAAATACTTGCTTCTTAACATTAAGGATAAATCTTATCCTTACTATTACAACTAAGAGAGATAAATGTAAAAACAAAGATTTTTTTTTATAAAAATGAACAGAATTGTCAATTTTTCAATGATAGTAAAGATAATATTTGATCCTTACGATTAACGAGCCAAATATTTTCCTTGTTTGAGTGTCCACCCCAAATATTAACAACTACATATCAAATCAACAATATATATTGATGTTTTTGTAAATACAATTAGTGAGATGGAAATTCAAACTTATCATCTCTAAATTAAAAACAAAAACAAGTRCCAATTATCATTGAATTTATCTCAAATCAAAGTCAGTCAATAATTGATGTGAGAGCATATATAAGCGTTAGGAAGGAATGAAATTAATAAATTAAAAAGTTAAGAGACAAAACTAAAATATTTAAACCTGTAAAAAAGAAGAAAAGAAAAATCCCACCTAGTGTAACCACCAAACACAGGTAGCACAGTGAACAGCAGGCAAAGCAAATGCGTTTATATATATATATTAATAATGTGTTCTATAGTCTTACCCACCGGAGCGGGACAAGAATTGGGTTCTGAGTTCTGGTTTCCGCGGACGATGAAGACAATCATGGCGAATTCCCCTCACGACTCCTCCTTCTCCTTCTCCCGAAGATACTTATTCCATTACTGGAAGAATTACCACAAGGATCATCAAGATCAAGAAGAAGATGGAGATGGCCGCCAAATGCTAAGCTTCAATCCACCGGGACCGAGATTGGGATCGGTATCTGCGGTGTCGAAACTCCGGTGGGGTCTGGGGAAGAAGCGGTCGGGTCGGGTGGTGGTGGGGACGATATTCGGGCAGAGGCGTGGGCACGTGCATTTCTCGTTGCAGGAGGAGGCGAGTGCGAAGCCGACGTTTCTGATCGAGGTGGCCATGCCGACGAGCGCGCTGGTCCGGGAAATGGCGTCGGGGGTGGCCCGGATGGCGTTGGAGTGTGAGAAGACGAAGACGAAGACGACAACGAAGAAGATGAAGAAGGTGAAGCTGGGGGAGGAGGCTATTTGGAGGGCGTATTGCAATGGGAAGAAGTATGGGTGGGCGAACAGGTTGGAGTGTGGGGCTGAGGAGTGGAGGGTTCTGAGGGCTGTTGGGCCCATCACGGTGGGTGCCGGGGTGCTGCCACTGCTGGAAGAAGAGGGCGCCGAGGCTGGGTCGGGGCCGGGTGAAGTGATGTTCATGAGGGCTAAGTTTGAGAGAGTGGTGGGTTCGAGTGATTCGGAGGCGTTTTACATGATCAACCCTGATGGGGTTGGAGGTCCTGACCTCACTATTTTTCTCCTTAGGGTTTGATTTTCCTCTACAACTTCCCTTCTGGATCACAAAATGTTTCCTTTGCTAAACCTCGCTGTTGGGAAGGGTTTTTCTTTTTATATATATTCTAGTGTTCAATTACAAGTGCAAGCTAGAGGAGGGTGAGGTGGGTTGGATTAATAAAAAATGTATGAATATATTTCCACAATAATGTGTTGCGAAATCTCATGGTACATATATGAGGCCATTATTATTGTTTTCAATAAAACTATTATGTTTTATCAGAAGGGAAGAATTCTTTTTCGAAATGAAGAAAAATTAATGTATCTCAAAGATAAAAGTTTATTCAAGTTAGTGCAAGTCCTTAACCAATTTAATTATGTATTCGGCGGGTATATTATATAATAGTAATAATGATTTTGAGAAAAGAAATAAGGGTTCATATAATTCTAAAATATATGGAAACAAGCCCCATCTGTAAACCAAAATGTATGATTCTAGAAGATTCACAAGTTGGAGCCTTTTTAGTGAACTTGTAAAAGATACTTGAGATGAGCTAATACACATCTTCCCGCACCCATGTCCTTCAACAATTTAGAAGACACGCTTCAATTTCCTTGATACTAGAACAACTTCTACCGCTTTCAAATCAAGTTTACAATCAAAAGAAAGCAGAAGAAGATTACATCAGAGATCGTAATACATCCACATAAATAGAAATAAAAATACAAGTTAATTAAATTTGAGTTTCTTTTTATCAAAAAATTCCTTGCAAACAATTACAACCTCCAAATAACTTTTGTTTTGTTGAAGCGTTTGGACTTTTACTTGAGTTAATTTATGTCACAAAAAACAGGAAGAACTAATTGGAGTTAAATCCAGTAATGTAGAAAGAGAAAGATAGAGAATATATTGAGCACCTTGTTTTAGAGAGGAATACAATGTGTTTAGAGAGGGGGAGTGTGGCGGAGAAACAAATTGTGAATTTTATAATAGTTTGTGTTGAAGTTGAACGTACTAATGAATTTTAAAACCATCTCTAAATCACTTTCCAGTCCCGTTAATAAGAACAAATACCCTCGTTTTTCACGTGCGTGGTTGAATCCAGCGATCCATTTGCAAATTGCAGCATAAAAAATTCATAATCACATCTAAATAAAATCAATGGTGAGATTAAGTGAAGAAGAGAAATGGGCGAAAATGGAGTGTGAGTTTAATCGGCCTCAGCCTCACATATTAGCATTCCCACTCCCCAAACAAGGCCACATAAACCCGCTCCTTCAATTCTGCAAGCGACTCGCTTCACGCCGCGTTCGCGTCACGCTCCTACTCCCCTCCTGCGCCGCCCCCTCCCTCCACGTCCTCCCCACTTCCCGCTCCGTCCAAATCGCCGCCATCTCCGCCGCCGCCGTCGCCAATGTCACTTCCGATGCCTTCAGAACCGCCGTCGCCGACGGCCTCGCCGATTTCCTCGCCGGATCCGACCCGAAGCCCGCCCTCCTCGTCTACGATTCCCTCATGCCCTGGCTTCTCCCCGTCGCCAAGCGCTTCGGACTCCACGGAGCGCCGTTTTTCACCCAATCCTCCGCCGTTAACCAAATCTTCGATCTCATCCATCGGGGAGCGCTAGAGGTGCCGGTTGAAGACGGCGCTCGGATCTCGCTTCCTTCTCTGGCGGTTGACCTCGACGCCGCGGATTTGCCGATTTCGTTCCCACTCGGCGGGATTGCCGTGGTGAAGTTGTTCAAAGCCAGTCAGTTCGTGAATCTGCAGGAGGTCAAATGGATGTTCTGCAACACCTTCCACAAATTGGAGCCCACGGTAAACCTATTCCTTTCTCTTACATATATATCTGTATATCCCCTTTCTCAATACATTCATCATTTTATTATGATTTCGAATTTCAGAGAGAAATTTTGATATGAACCCTTACAAATTGAAGATAGAACCCCTTCCGACCATAATTGTCAAGATCCTAATTGTCAAGACCTAAAACTCCCAATCAAATAGCACAAATTCCAAGAGAAAGATTAGATGAGAGGTTATTTGATGATCCAAGCTAGACCAAGGGTTTTTGGTTGACAATCACAAGAAGGAAAGGTACCTAGCTTGAATGTTCCCGGCTTGAAATTTAGATCAAGAATTGCAACACTCAAATTCATTAGGTATTGAAACGATCTCTTAAACTCTTCACAAGTTTAAATCCCTACAACTACAACTAAGAGTAACATAAATAAATTTAAAATTAATAATTCAATGTGAAACCCTAGAAATTGCATATAAAAATCCAAATCAAATATCACATCCCAAAGGAAAGATTAGATGAAGAGTTACATTGGTGATCAAAATCTAAGAGGTAAGAAGAATTGATTTCCTACTCAAGGTTGAACGTTAGAAGGTTGATCAAACCTAACTTCAATATTTCGGGCTTGTAACCTAGATCAAGAATTATTGTACAAAATTGATGAACTCTTAATCATCACGCTATATAACACTCAAATTCATTATGTCTTGAAACGTTGTTCTGTTCACAAGATTAAATTCCTAATCTCAAAAGGAAGCTAAAAGAATATACTACCTCCAACTACAAGTGAGATAGATAGTTTTAAAAATAAACACCTAAAATTAATAATTCAATGTCGCATAACTGACTAAAAAATATAATGCTTAAAATAAGAGAATTAACAATTTTAAAATAATAAAATTTATTAATACAAAGTTTCTTCATCTTCTTCTCGTGTCTTCATTTGGTACAATGAATAAAGCTTCTTTCCATCTTTACCATTCATTAGGAGAGCACACTACTCTTTGGATATGTGGAGTCGAATGCTAGTTGTAATTATTTGGTCCTTGAACGAGTGAGTTGGTCGTGTGGACAAGGCTAACACATCTTGGTTCATATCAAATTTTTTCACAATAGAATAAATTACTAGACCTTTTTAATTTTTTTTACAAATTACATTATACTTTTGGTTTAAATTACAAGTTTTACAAGTTTACAACTTTGAAAAATAATAGTACTTTGAATTTTATGTCTAATTGATATTTAAATTGTTGTCACTAGTTCTCTTACCTTTAAACTTGCATTTTCTAAAATTATATTTAAAAAAATGTCATATAGTTGAAGGATTAGACACCAAATTGAGTGTTTTTCTTTTTAGTACCACACGTTGGATGGAGATTCGAACTCACAATTTTCTGATTGGAGATAGATATTCTAACCAGTTGAGTTATATGTTCAGGTAAAATCGAAAGTTTTCTAAAGTAAAAAGACTTATTATATATAATTACTAAAATATAAAGGATAAATTTATGCAATCTCATAAATGACCTTGGAACTTGAAATTTGATGTTAATATAAAAACCAATAGAACAATTTTCAAAATTTGGGTTTTTATTTATAAAATATTGAAGCTTAGAAGAAGAGGAAGAATAAACGATTAAGATCTTCTATTTACTTGCCAATGAAGTGTACAATGATTACTTAAATACACCATTTTTAACTAATAATAGCTTACACCTTTAGTATATCATAGTAAATGATGAGTTGTTTCAAGTGAACTTTAAAAAGGGGAGAGACAATTTGACTAAGCCTGTTTACTACAAAAAGTAATATCCGGCCTTGAAATCGTTAAGTATGAAAGTCACCCATTAAATGCCTATAAATAGTTGGATGAGGAAGCTAGTAAATCATCATTAGAAAAATGTAATTTCAACAAATGATCCACAAACAGTAGGTTTTATATCCCATGAAACCAAAATTCTCTAAAAGCTTGAAAGGAAAATGCTGCTGGGAAAGAAAAAGTCTTTTGGCAGAACGTGCCATTTTCAAGACCAAGGAAATATTTTGATCTCCGAAATCCTTTAGCTTTAATTGAGCATCAAAAAGTTGCTTCAAAAGAGAAATACCAGAGACATTTGGATCATTGATAATAATATCGTCAATGCAAACAAGCAATACAATAAAAGAAGAACAAACATGTTAATAAAAAGAGAATACTTAGCCTTAGACTGTTGAAAACGAAAGAATAATAAGGTGTTCCTTAATTTTGAAAACCATTACTTGCTTCATACCATAAATGGACTTACAAACAAAATTCTCTCCCTAATGGTGACATCAATCTTAGGACGATGTTCTAAGGGCATGTCCATATAGACTTCCTCAAAAAGATCGTGATAAAGAAAGCACTATTTACGCATAACTGATTTGAAGAGTAGTGCTTAGAAACGGAAATAGCATGAAGTATTTTGACAGTAACCAATTTAGCCACGTAGGAGAGAAAGTTTAGAAAAATCTAACCCCTCTTGCTGATTGTAGCCCTTTACAACAAGATAGGCTTTTTATCGCTCAATGGAACCATTAAAACTTATGCTTGATCTTATACACTCATTTGCTCATATTCAAAACTGGGACATTGGGCCTAAGTGCTATTCATCGCCAATGTTTATGACGGACTTGATGATAAAACTAAGGCTTAAAATGGGCCAAGACATTAAACAAAAAAATGGCAGTGTGAGAAGCATTCAATTGCAAATAAGAAAGAAAAATATGAAAGTTATGTTTTGTCGAAGTGAGGGAGATAATCACCCAATAAAGATAACAATTGTCTATGCTTATGAGGACAACTTGATGATAAAACTAAACCTCTGTAACTCTCTATTGAATGCAGAAAAATGAATGTCTTGTTCCTTTGAACTTATGGCGGTATTTATAGGGCTTGATCGGCTTGTTGAGTTGTTAGTAATTTAATAGACTTTAACTGCTGATTCGTAGAGGTTTGACTTGATTGAGGATTGCCCAATAACCATTGATCGTTTGAGTCAAAGTAATTGTTAGAGATTTGAAGTAATCAAAACAAGTTTAAAATTAAGCTGTGTTTTACGAAGTCTAGGCGAACTTTGAAGCATTCGGCACACTGTGTCATGGTCATACTTTTTTCGACCATGCGGCATTATAATCTTACCTCGATCGTGGCCAGCCTTGAAGATAACTGTAGCTTAAACATTCTTTTCATGAGTCATTTTTACTTCATCGGACCATTAGGGCAAGGTTTTCTCTTCCTCGATAGAGCTTAACTATTCTTGCATCACGAGAACATCTATCCAAGTAACCACACACAAGAGCATCCTGTCGCTAATCGTTGGTTTAATCTCATGTGGGTATTTGCAACTACGTATGCAACTTGATTCATCCTTGGTGATGCACGTCACCCTTTCATGCATCTTAACTTTTGATTGTGACTCTAACCAGCTTGCTTTTACTCTAGGCCAAGCTCAACTAAACATTGCCTCTACTCTAGATCAAGGATATCTAAACACTTTGTTGCATCATTTTTCCACATCTTGGCCATTCTGTTTCCACACTAACAAGGACCCTACTGAATCTTGACCTTTAGTGGAGTCAGACAAGCTTGTAAAACTCAAGGAGAGCTCGTTGACATCTTAAAATCTCATCTTGAACCTTGGGAGTTCATTTTGATTCATGACCACTTGGGCACTTTTTTTGATAATCGACTCGTGGGTTTGTTTTCACTATCGAAACCTTTTGGACGTCCATCCATCCTACTATAATAAGGCATGACAACTCTTGCGTTTATGCTAATTCATCTGTTCATACTGTATTGCTACACAAAAATATGATGGAACCTCTACCCCACAAGATAAGGTGCAACGACAATACACATGCCACCTGACATTGTCCCCAATATTCTTGTTCTCGAGGAACGCACCCAAGACACTCGTCTTGCAATGCTCGCCCATGCTATGGCACACGCATGTACCATAGGGTGGCTCGCTTAGGCCTAGTCCAACTCAAGGATGGTGGAGAGCTAACACCATGTGTCTCCCTATAGTACTTTCTAAGGCAAATTCACTTGAGCAAGCGTGAAGGTCAAAATGGAAAGGAGTCACTCTCTAACCTATCGGACATGTGAACTCTGTTTGACTTGAAACTTGGTGTGCTTACATATCTCACTTACACGCACTTAACTCGAAAGCCGCTTGTCGAAACTCCACCCACAACTCCAACTTTTGGGGTCTCGAACCAGGCCTCATACGACCCTTATCGGATGCCACATGACACCATCGTTGCCTCTTGAAATGCTTGTACCGTGGTTGGACATTCTCGTGTACTTCATCTTTGGTGTGTTGAGCGATTTGTCATTCCCCTTGGTCACATCAACACTCTTTTCTCTTGTCCTTTCTAGCCTTGTCGGTCATGGTGCTTGCTTGACTTGTTGAGCTACTTACTGAATTGTTGAGCTATTTATTTTACTAACTATGTCAAGCTTCTTTCTTGACATCGGATGTCGACCTACTTGCTTGATATTGTTCTCGCTTGGTGAGGGAGTCTCAACACCCACTATCTTATAGTAGGGTTGAGACACATTGCTGACACTTTATTCTGTATTTTGCAAGATTTGGAAAGGCACGAAGCGTTTGGTGTATTTGCTTCGCCATTTGCCCTATAGTGCACAAAGTAAATCCTAAAATACTTCATGAAACTTAGAATTATGTAAGAGTAAGATGTGCAATGTGTATATGACCAAGTTTAACTAATAATACATGTATTTTATGAACAATTATGCTAAAGTAAGACTTAAAATAACTATATTAGAATCATTTTAACCCTGGAAATGAAAGCTTATCAATTTGTTTAGGGGCATACAATACAAAGTTAGAATGCAAATACTTTGTATTATATATATATATATATATATATATATATATATATTGCATTAAAATATAAGGTACTACGTAAAGAATGCAACGACATGGCAGAGGGATGTTCAAGTCGATTATGCAACAAGCTAAAGGACATTGAATGAGAAGTAACACCTGCAAGAGCAAGTGGAACATTACTCACAGCAAAAGCTTCAAGAAAGCAAAAACCACGAGAAATTCCACACCATTGCGAATCATCTTCAAAGACGTAGACTTATCCTGAATGAGACAATAATCAGTTAGAAATGGAATAGAAACCTCCATCTCTTTCTAACTAACACAAAGTTGATGGTTATTAGGCAACATGATAGAAGTCCCAAGGATGTTGATCACATTARAGAATAATCAATCAAAGGTATGCTTTGTTGCCACGTTGAAAGCTTGGAAGACAATGATGAAAGGATAAGATTTTCTATTCATATAATGTGCTACTTAATTACACAATTCCATACAACATGTAACAAATATCGACCCACTAAAATAACTTAAAGAAAAAAATGAAACAAAAACAGATACATGTTAATAGAAAAAAGAAAAAGAAAATTGAAATTAGTTTTATTTGCAATTGTGGTTGATGAGGTGGGTGGAGAGTGGAGAATGAGGAGTATTGGGCCAAGTGTCCCGTCGGCATACTTGGACAAGCGGTTGGAGGATGACCAAAGCTACGGAATCAGTTTGTTCAGTTCTGACACGTCGGACGACACCGTGGAGTGGCTCAACTCTAAGGCCGCCACCTCCGTTGTTTACGTCTCTTTTGGAAGCGTCGTAAGCTTGGAAGAAAACCAGGTAACTAGACCAATTTATGCCCATTAACTGCTTCAATAAATCTATTCATTGCGTTTTCATTTCATTTTAGAAATATAAGTATTTGATAATTATTCTTATATTTTATTCAAATTTTTAAGGAATGTTTTATAATTGTGTAAAATTTTGGAAAAGATAAAGGGTGCGTTTGGTTGGTGATCTGAAAACATGAATTTGGAAATAAGGGATTAAATGAAAATAGGGTTGTATTCTATGAATCCAATGTTTGGTAATAGATTCAGAAATTGAATCTGGATTTAAGGATTTGTTGAAACTATGTTTGGTATTGTATTCATTATTCTTAAATATGTATTTGGTAGCAGATTCAGAAATTGAATATGAATTTAAGAATTTATTAAAATGGAATTTTGTAATATACTAAAAAAAAATAGGTCACACGATGATCTTTTGGTTGTGAAAATTTATTGATAAATATATATCACATTTTAAATTGTATAATTTATTAAATTAAATAATTAAAATTAGTTTTTAAAAAAAATAAATAATTAAAATTATTATTAAAAAAATTTATAATTTATAAAAATAAAATGAATGTATAACCCTTACCTGTCGTATTCCAAAAAAAAAAAAAACGTAAAACTGGATCCCGTGTTTTCAAAATTTTAGAATATGATATCTGAAAAGGTTGAAAACAACTTGGTTGTTTTGAGATTTGGGGTTTTTTGAATTCAAGTTTTTTATTTTATTTTCAAATTTGGGCCTACCAAACAACATAAATCTTCTGTATCCATCTTATCACTGGTTTTTCAAAACATAAAACTGGATCCAAATCTCCAACCAAACATGGCCAATTAACTTTCTTATTTCTACTTTTCCATTTTCTATTTGTTTTCTTTCAAAACATAAAACAATTACTATTTTATATTATTAACTAATGAATAATAACATATATATATAACATAAAATTTTAAATATTTAGTTAAAAATTTAATTTTCATATAAAAATTTACTTAATTAATTTAAAATTATCAAAAACGAGAAACAAGAAATTATTATTAAACATGTTTCTGTTTCTCAATTAATTTTAATTAAAAAACAAGAAAGAAGCCCTTATCAAACGAATTTATGTTTTTACTCACTGAAAAAATAATTGAGAAGCAAGAAAAGAAAAACATGAAAGTTAGACTTCTACAACTTTTATTATTGTTCCTTCAAATGCCATTTTATATTTTAGTTGGTTTGAAGTGCAAGGTTTCTGAACACTAATGGGTCTCTCAACCTATCTAATAAATTCATCAATTTTCAATTTTGTTTTTAAAATTTTAAGGGTTCTATTAAAAACAAAATTCAATATTATGTCTAATATATTTGTTAATGTTAAATTAGGTAGAATAATACATCATGAACTTATTAGATACAAAATCAAAAATTTTAAAAACAGTTAGACTCTTCTAATATTCCAAAACTTATTAAACACAAAATTGAAAATCTAAGGACAGGTTAGTCTCAGCTCCAAGTCACTGTGAAACAAGCTTTAGTTAAAAATTCTCAATAACAGAGAATTAAATGTGAACTTTGCGTGTTTAGGTAAGGGAAATTGCAAGCAGTCTAAGAGACAACAATAACCCCTTCGTATGGGTCCTAGGAGAATCAGAATCACAAAAACTTCCGACCAACTTTCTATCAGAAACTTCAGAGAAAGGTCTGGTTCTAAGTTGGTGCTGTCAGCTCCAAGTCTTGGCTCACTCTGCGATCGGATGCTTCGTCACTCATTGTGGCTGGAACTCGACGCTCGAGGCGCTTAGCACCGGTGTCCCGATGGTGGCGGTTCCAAAATGGTCGGATCAAACCACAAATGCTAAGTTCATATCAGATGTTTGGGGAGTTGGAGTCAGAGCAAAAGTGAATGAGGAGGGCATTTTTACTCGCATGGAAATAAGCAAGTGCATCAAAGAATTGATGGAGGGAGAGAGAGGGAAAGGTATAAGAAGGAATTCGTTAAAATGGAAGGAGTTGGCTAGAGAGGCCATGGATGAAGGTGGTACTTCTGATAGCAACATTGATGACTTTGTAAAAGAACTTATAAACTCTACTTGAAATTGTTGGTTAACTCAAGTTACAAAATTACTTCTTTTTAAATTTGTCCAGTCCAGTTCTAGTTTACAATGAAATTAGGTTGTTGCGGTTATTTTTAGTTAACTAACATTAAGTTACCTTTTTTGTAGACAGTTCCTAGTAGTTGCTATTATTGTGGAATTTGTTGGGTTTATTTTTAGTATCTCAGTCATCAAAATTTGTATTTATTTGGAGCAGTTATTGAAGCAAAGGTACAGTTCCCCAATTCTCATTTCACTTTTGCTCTCAATAATAATAAATACAGTGATAGAGTGAGATTCAGTTAAATATCCAATAGAAAAATCAAGAATTACACCTCTGAGAATTTTGTGAGATGGAGTTGTGATCGAGTAGTCTACATGGAATGTTCGTGAGCAAGACTACAGATGTTGTTCCATGCTTCTCGATAATCCAAGCTACCTAAATCTATCTACAGTTGAAAGTTCTGGTAGCTAGGAAAGTAAAGTCAGGGAGGAAGGCGCTGTACTATTGGGCAAGTAGCGGTTGTAGTCTCGTCTTTCTTKTAGCTTTGGGGATTTTTTTATGCTACTTTAGGATTAAAAAAAAGGCTTCAAGCTCAAGTGCAAGCTGAGTAAACTTGTTCCGTTTTACTGCAAGTCTAAAGAAAGGGAGGGGCAAAGTCCACTCGCTATTAGCTCGCAACAATCTCTCCACTCGCATAGTAAACAGCGCTCGCCCTAGTAAAATCCGGATCTTGTTCCTTTGCGAGCGGAAGTCAGAACGAATACCGAGACTCCTTTCCGCCTTATTAGTTATTCAAGCGGATCACTTTGTTTGTAATGAAAAGGAAAGAGAAGGCGGCTGTAGATCTCGAGTCTTTACGGGCAATGAAAGCGGTAGGGCAAGTGAAACATTCGAGATTTGTCAGGCTTAAGGTAAAGGGCATGAGAGAAAGAAAGKATTGATGGGATTTGATCTTCCAAGTGAGATAGATCACAATTTTTCTTAGATTTCCTCAAGATCTTCTCTGCATGTAGAGTAAGACATTCTCTTTTTTATTGGGACGAAAGGGACGTTCCTGACAATTTGGAAATCATTGGTAAGTTACAAGTTTTTATTATTTCTAATTTGGGGCTCTCGTTTAGGATATCTGTCTATATGTCGCAACATCATCGTGATGTGGAGCAACTAACGTCAAAAGTCTCTTCCATTAAAAGAGATATGAAGTCGTCATCGGTCGCTTAAAAGTAAATGGTTTGCATAAATATATGTTGGTTTTGAGGGTTGTAGAGAGAAAGTTATTTTCAATCTTCATCATTTGAGTTTTTAAAAGAATTTATTTTTTGTTTGTTTATTAATTTTAAATGGGAGTAGATTTGAAAAGCTTTATTTTCTTTTATTATTATAAAAGAACTTTATTTTTTAATTGCAAATTTATTTCTTTTATTGAAAACTTTATTTTATGTATTAAAGTCAATTTAACCCAAATTTTCTTTAAGAATTTTTATGCAGTTGTACGAGAGTCGAAACACACGAAAGCGCATTATTTGATTTTCATGCACTTGCATGAGATTTCAAACATGAATATCCACGCAATTTCTCACAATATCAAAATAATTCGAGAACATAAGGATGTGTGATTTCCGGATTTTTCGAACAAATCATCAATCTGCGGTTGAGTTTAGATTATAATTTTAATTCAATTGAAGAGTAAACCTATTTATTCCTGGTTCTAAGACCAATAGTTCTAGCGGTCACCATCCGAAAAGAGGAAAACACAGAGTCTTTGTCTAAAGAAATGCCTTGAGAAAGGGCAGATGTATAGGTTCAACGACATAGTGCTTTTTCAACTCTCTCAAAATTGAATCTCCAAACAGGCGTCGCCTCATCAACAAAAGAATCGAAACAGGGTTGTATTTCATATTTTCAGTGTTCATTTAAAAATTGAATCCATGATAATACACCATCTGAGCTACATTTCATGAGATTTATACTGTTACGCACTTAAGATATATTTTGAAGGAATGAACAATGGAGAGGAAATGAGAGATAAATGGATCAAATTGAGAGAAAAGTCATAGCCCGAGTGAGTAGGGAAACAATTACAACATTTGTTGGAGCCCAACTACACAGAAATAGCGTTGAAGCACCAAAAAACGCGTGATGGCACCTATAGCACAAAACAACAAAAGCAAATTTTCTGCCCGACGCCACAGTGCCACAGTGCTCTGAACTATTTTTCGTTTGTCTTTTTTTCCTGTAGTGACTATTTTTTTTTTTTTT